AAGCTTCCTCTCCAACCACTTCTCCCTCTAGCCTTAGGGATACCGTTGTCTCAGGAACTACATAGCTATTTCCCCGAACAGCAGTTCTTGCCAGCTAGCAATCTAGTAGAGTTCAGAGTCATACCTTACGTTCATCCAGGGGTCCTCCAACTTTTTAAACAGGGGGCCAGTTCACTGTCCCTCAGACCTGTTGGAGGGCCGGACTATAGTTTAAAAAAACTATGAACAAATTCCTATGCACACTGCACATATCTTATTTTCAAGAAAAAAAATAAAACGGGGCAAAAACACCTGGTGTCCCAGATAAATGTCCTCGGTGAGCCATAGTTTGAGGATGCTAGTTTCTAAACCATCAACTCAGGGTCACCTAGAGGAAAGAGTTGGAAGCTTTGGTTTGGGGGGTGGAGCTCAATTGCAATGACAAATAGGGAACTAAGACATGGGAAGAGAATAAAACATCGATGTCAAATGAGGTAAGTTGAGATAGAATGAACATTGCTTCTCAGTCAGACAAATCTATGATCAACCTGGCTCCAATCCTACCCTCTGTGATCTTGAAATTCTAGTTCTACCACTGGAATAAATGTGGTTATCACTTTACTTCTTGGTCATCACCATACCACATTGAAATCAGTTCAGTATGGATTCAGAATATATTAATGTATTCTGAATCTCCACATGTTTTGTAGTTACAAACTACTGTTCACTTCTGGAGTTTTACCATGGCAACATCCTTTAATGTGAGGGCTGAAAGCATGGAGGCTCAAATGAGGGAATAATCGTGAGGCGCGTGCAGCACTAAGCAGTGCTTCCTACCAACTTGAAGGCTGCTGCTGCACATAGACAAGTGGTGATAAATTAATCCACTGAAAAGAAGTTCAATGAACAAACTAGATAGAATAGTGTGGTCAGATGCAGGAGCAGTTAAGTTATGCAGATGGTAAGTGTGAATTCAGCTAGACTAGTTAATGCTGTTACATGGAGCATAGAGCTTCACCTCCCCTAAACCTTGTTTTCCTCCTTTGAAAAGGGGGTATAATAAGTGATTATTCCAGACTCACTCTGCTAGAAGTATCCAGGAAGTGATACAGGATTATATGAATTTATGTGTGGATGTATATGTATATATGTAGACATGTGTGTATATGTATACACATGTGTGTATGTATATGTTAATGGGTATAGTGTTTTCTCAGATTTCTTTGGCTCTTCATAGATCGCTCATTTGTGGAGTGCCAACCCCACCCACCCTCCAAAAAAAGGTTATTTCGTTACGATTTACAACCAAACCAAGTCTTATCGTTATCCTATGATGAAATATCACAGGGTGTTTTACTAAGTGAAATTTTACTTAGTTCTGGGAACCAAATTCTAAAGACCGTGACCAAGTAGATCAAGTGCATAGTAAAGAGATCCTGGTGACAGAAACAATGCCCTCCCAGCAAAGCATGGAGGTCTGGGATATTAAACCTGGAGATTCTCCATGTAACAGGACTTTTAAAACTTGGTACGAATATCTGCCAGTGTTTATGGAGCACTTGCAAAAACTAGGTCCTTATTTAATCTTTATTTATTTTATTTAACAGCCATGTGAGTAATGTACAATTAATATATTCCCATTTGCAGATAAGACTCGGGAAGAATGAGTGGCTTTCTCCTGGTCATACAGTCGTGTCTGACCTTTTAACACTCATTACCTGTGTTCAATGACATTTAAATGCCTTTCATGCTGGAAAAGAATAGACTTCCATGAGCGCTAAGAGGATCACATTTATTCCTGTGGACAGAGATAAGAGTTAATCATATTTTTGCTTCTCTCACTAAACCTAAAATAAAAAACCTAATGAGAACTGCCTACCAGTGAAAGCATTCAAGACAAGGAAGGATGTACATTTTCCTATGGTTCTATAAAATGATAGTAAACCTTGATTACAAGATTGGGTCAAAGCAATGATCTTCACAGTGTGCTCGCATACTACTAAATTAAAACTGAAGCACTTCTAAAACTGGTCCATAAGAGTATTCATAAAAATTTTAAATAGTTGTCAGGATATACTTGGTATATGGTAAGTATTTATCTTTAACAGGAAAGTTTATATTATTTTTAAATGTATACAATGGCATTGAAATCACAGGCACTTGATATACCAATCACGTTCTAAAATGCATGGGCAAGTGTGTCTGTAATAGCTATAAACTTTACATCATCTCCTTACACTTCATCATGGACTTTAATTCTTCCTCCCCTGCACAAGTTTTATCCTACAGTGATATATTTTTATGCTGGAAAATCTTTTAAAATCACCTATCATTTATCTCCACAGCAGGACTTGTATATAAAATACATGAGAGAAGTTCAAAAAGTTCATGGGAAAATTAGTATTTTCTTGGTAAAGCATATGAAATTTAACTTATTTCCAATTTATTGTCAGCCTAAGATTTTAGGTGTTTAAATGATCTAAATTGAGTTTTTCTTATCATTATTACTAGTAAGCAACTTATTAAATAATAAATTTAGACTGAATTATATGAAGTTGCCAATATTTACCTGTTTGAGCTTACAAAGATGGAAATTCATATGGTTCAACATAATGTTATAAACTTTTAAAATAATCATTAAATCTAGATAATAGTTTTATTGGGAAGTTTTATATATCTAATATAGTAGGTGATTTTTATTTTTTCAAATAGTTCATGTAATCATTCATGAATATTATTTATTGCCTGAATTACTATCAGTATCAATTATATATATATTTTGTTATAAACATAGCACTTGTTCACACAAACAAGGGAAATAATATGGTAGAAGCCACAATGTTTCATATTATAAAAATTTATTTTAAATGATGTGGGGAAAATTGGATTAGGTCTTCTTCAATTTTCTAAGAGCAAAGAATTGGGAACCAACTGATTCCCAAAATGGATTTGTTACCTGATTATTAAAATCATTCCTTAGCTCAGTATTTCTAACGGTTCTGTCAGTTGACATTTTTATATTCTAAGCCAATACGTCTAGTAAAATTTGAGGTGAAGGGACAATGCAGTATATGTTTGCTTCATTTTTTTTTAAGGTGGAAGACAAGATAATGTGTACGAGGACATCTTGACAGCAGATACTCAGAAAAAATATATGTTAGGGAAGAGAAATATAGAATGTGATAATTTGGAAACTGATTTTCCTACAGCAATGTCTGTATACCCTTTCTTTGGGCACCGCCTGGGGTATGTGACCCCCCAAAATAAAAATCACTAGGGCAGTGGTCTCTGACATCCCTTTCAGCTGGCAGCTTCGTGGGCTATGTCGTCATCAACAGATCTTTCTACCATGAGCTAAGATATCTTGGATGTAATTTAAAGAGTCATGTTCTATAGTGGTCGGTAGCACAAACTTTGAAGCCAGGTAAATATAGCTCTAACTTTAAAAATGTCCCATATGAGCTTAAACTTTCTATGTCTCAGTTTTCTAATTGTTAACATTTAATAATAATAATAGTTTCATGAGGTTATTATAAGAATTAAGTGTGGTAATAGAACAAAATCATTGTTATAAAGCAAATGCTCCCTAAAATGTTTGCTGTAGTGATGATGTTAATAATAATGAAAATCCATTGCTGATTGTTTGGAAGGTATAAATGGTTCAAGTTAAACACTCGATCCCTTTGTCAAACCCATGAATAGTTTATATGGGAACACATCATAAAGACAATTAAATGAGCTGCATAGAACGTCTTTCCTATCATAATGATCCCAGTGAAATCAGCCTTTCCTCAGACTGAGGTTCAAAACAAGTTCTGAAAACATTAATTCTCTTCTTCCCATTTATTAAACTATTAGGTCTGCCCACCCATCCATGCTTTCAACAGATATTAAATCAAGCTTTTCTTAGGTTCTAGAAATGGTGCAAAACACTTGAGAGATGCAGACTACAAAATGGATCTCTTGCTCTGAAGCACAGAAAAAAATGTCACATTTGACAAATATGGTGTCATGCCCCGGTGGCACACTGGATAAGCATTGGTCAGCAGTTCAAAACCACCATGGGAGAAAAATGGAGTTTTTACTCCCGTAAACAGTTACAGTCTCAGAATCTCATAGGGACAGGTCTGCCCTACCCTCTAGAGTCATTATGAGCGAGCACTGACTCAGCGGCAGTATGAGTCCGGTTTGTTTGATATGCTTTACTTCAGCATTGCATCATGTAGATTGAGAACACAGAAGAAATGTAACTTCTTCTGGGCTGAGGTGGATGGTGTTGACGAGAAGGGGAAACGATCACTGAGAAGGTTATTTTTGATCCGACGCTCAAAGGAAAATAGAAATTCATTCTGCGGACAAAGGAGGAAAAGATATCCTTAGTAGGTGAGACAGAATGCAATCAATATTCAGAATCTTGTATGCAATGCCCTGAATTTGGAAGGGTAGGCAAGACACAAACATTATTTAGTATAAGATAATAAAGAATATAAAAGGAGCATTCAAACATATTGTAGAAGGAAGACAAGAGACGGAGAGATGATGATGATGATGGTAATGGTGGTGGTAGTGGTGAAGCAGCATTTAACAATGCTTCGTAGAATGTTAATCTTTCTTACAACTCTGGGGAGATAGATATGATGCATGTGTTCTAGAGAGTAAGATTATGATCAGAGCGGTCAAGGGATCAGCCCAAGATGGTTAAATATTCACTGGGTAGAGGGAAGAAAAAGATCGATTCTCAACAGAGACACCTGGGAATTAGTGGGAAAGGCAGAATTTCCCCTGGAATTGCAGTCCCAACATTATGAATTCTGTGCTTTTAGACAAGTCAGTATTCGTCTTCCATTCATTCTCCTCTCTGTACAATGGAATTTTTTAGCCCTGCCTCATTGGTTTATTGTGTCATGAACGTGTATCATAAGTGTACCTTGCATATAGAGCCTTCTCTCGTCTTTGTGGTGGAAATAGCATTAGAGAAGCACTGAAGACTAAAAATGATCCTTTTCGTTCTATGGCAACAGATGGATAGAACCAACTGGACCAGTGTATCCCATTTTGTTCTTTTGGGCATTTCTACTCGACCAGAAGAGCAGATTCCACTCTTCCTTCTTTTCCTACTCATGTATGCAATCAACATTTCGGGCAACTTCGCCATCATCACACTGATTATCTCTGTTCCACACCTCCACACTCCCATGTATATCTTCCTCAGTAACTTGGCCTTGGCAGATATCTGCTTCACCTCCACCACGGTCCCCAAGATGCTACAGAACATTCTTTCTACTACAAAGGCTATTTCTTACCTGGGCTGCCTAGCCCAGACTTATTTCTTCATTTGCTTTGCAGCCATGGAAAACTTCCTTCTGGCTGTGATGGCGTATGACAGGTACATTGCCATCTGCCACCCTTTCCAGTACCCTATGATCTTGACCAAAATGCTGTGTGCACAAATGGTGGCTGTGTGCCATGTCCTCTCCCATCTTCATGCCCTGCTGCACACCCTTCTCATGGGCAGACTGGTCTTTTGTGACGATAACAGGATTCCCCACTTCTTCTGTGACCTCTACCCTCTGATGAAGATCTCTTGTTCCAGCACTCACCTCAATACCCTGATGATTCACACCGAAGGTGTTATTGTCATCAATGGAGCTTTGGCCTTCATCATTGTCTCCTATGCTTGTATCATCTCAGCCATCCTTCGGATCCCCTCAGCCAATGGCAAGTGGAGAGCCTTTTCCACATGCGGCTCTCACCTCACTGTGGTGGCCATATTCTATGGTACACTGACATGGGTCTACTTCCGACCTCTTTCCAGCTATTCAGTGGCCACTGGTCGACTTGTGACAGTCATGTACACAGTAGTGACTCCCATGCTGAACCCCTTCATCTATAGCCTGAGGAATGCAGACGTCAAGGGAGCCTACAAGAGATGGAGGAGCAGACGGTGGGTTTCTTTCTTTAGCTAAAACACCAAAGCAGTTCTGAGCCTTCTGTATGATCCTGGGGAAAGTTTTTCCCCTCATAAAGCAATTTCTTTTGGAACATTCCAATAATATCTAAACTGAGCACTTAGCACAACTTTTCTCATTATATCTTCTCTCTGAAAGGAAACCAACATATCTTAGCATAAAACACTAGCATGTTGACACAGTTCTCTGAACCTGCAATTAAATTCATTGTATCAATTGATTGACACAATGAGCATTTTATCAATTTAGCATTTTATCACTCACTTTTTAGATGCAAAATCAATGGATTCTGCCTGGCTTATGGAGAAAATAAATGTATTGCCAGGATGTTGTGTAGTTCATGAATTGTCAAGAATGCTGGGGAACCACAGTGAAAACTGACAGGAATAAAAATGGTCAAATATCAGAACTATAGTCAAAATCAGACCTAGAAACAGTCTAGTAAGGACCCCCATTCCAGCCACCAAATTCTGTTCACCACAGTTTGTACCTCCACCAACACTACCAACAATGCTCATGGAGAATATGCTAAAAAATGGAATGTGCGGGGAGGGTGGGGAAAAATGAGGACCTAATGCCGGGGGTTTAAATGGAGAGAAAATGTTTTGAGAAACGATGTACAAATGCGCTTTACACAATTGATGTGTGTATGGATTGGGATAACAGTTGTATGAGCCCCTAATAAAATGTTAAAAAAGAGAGAGAAAAAAAAAAGAAGAACTGATACCAAGGGCTCAAGTAGAAAGAAAATGTTTTGAAAATGATGATGGGAACAAATAATACAAATGTGCTAGATACAATTGGTGTGTGCTTTGTTATAATATCTGTAAGAGCCCCAATAAAGTGATTTATAAAAAGAAGAAGAAAAAAAAAGAAAAAATGAAATGTGACAAACTCTACAGAGAATTGGCCACTTCAAATAGATGAGGTGGTACATCTTATTGGACAAATCTTGGTCAATCACTCATATTTCATCTACCAAAGAAACGGGGAGAGCAAAAGATGTTTCTAATTTCTATAAAGTTGTTCTGCCAAGAAAAGTGTTATGGGTAACTACTGAAATATGAGAAAAGGTTTTGGGTGCTGGGACATCCAAATAATAACAAATATGTAAGATGGAATTGATTTGGTAGAATAGATTTGGGTTGTTTTTTTGTTTTGTTTTGTTTGGTCGTGGTGGGGACTCATATAGGGTCCAGAGTAATAGATACTCCAGAATTAAGCACTGCCACAACTCCCCAACTTGTGTTTTTCTAACATTTATTGGCCACATCATTCAGAAATAACAAATTCATTTGTTTTGTAATCCTCCGCTTGACCCTTTAGCTGTGGTATGGAATTCAAAGTAATAGTGGATATTTTTCGGATAACCAATTAATGCTGAGCATGGGGACCAGGGCCAAGAACCAAATTGCCTATCAAAAAGTGAATTCTTCAGTGCATATAGAAGTAGGATCAAAAGGCAAAGGCGAGAAGGGCCTCCGAGGATGTGGAGCAGAAGCTTCAAGCATAGGCTGATCTATCTGTCTGGACAAAATGTCTATTATAGAATATGAGTAGTTATGTCACTGAGTTCAGAAGAAGCTAAGATCTTGTCAATATTGTGTAATGTTGTGCTAGAAGATGTTGTTTGTTGTTATGTCTGTATGAATTTTCACCATAATTTGAGTTTGAGAAGTTACGGTCTCTATGTCGTTGACTGCAATAGGTTAACAAGTTCTTTCAAGGTAAAGAGGTCTCTGGCACATATAACATAAAATAATAATGAAGAAATATACCAATTTTGGATTAGCTGACTGGCTCTTGTTTTAATTTGCCAGAAAGCATCTTTCATAGCCACTATTTTTCTTCTGGACTGCACTGTTTCCTCTGACTTCATATTTCTTGGCTGTCTAGTCCGCATCCCTCTTCATTGGTTCCAGGTGACAGCTCAATTGTTGATCTCCTTATTCCTTACCATCTGTTCAGCCGTGCCTCTTTGAAGTGTAGCATCTTCTGAGAGTCTCTTCCTGAACCTATTTAAATGATCTAAGTATAGATAAGCGCTGGAGGAATGAATGAGTATAAATTTTTGAAGTGCAATTTAGAAATCCTATTAAAATTTGTTATAATTTGATGATCCTCTTCCTTTTCTAAAAATTTCTTACTGAAAGAAAACCTGATGGAATATATATATATATATATATATAACATCAGTTATAGTCACGTGAAGAAACACACAAACATACGTGCATACCATATGTGCAATTACGTATATATGATTCAATCCACTATTGTGTGATAGTAAAAATTTTGAAATAATCTTTATGTGTGCTAGTAGAAGTTTGGTTAATAGAATACAGTAGTTACTCACTCCTACTCACCACCATCCAGTCAACGCTGCCTTAGAGTGACCCTATAGGACAGGGTAGAATGGCCCTTGGGAGTTTCCAAGACTGTAACTCTTTATGGGAGTAGAAAACCTCATCTTTCTCCCTCAGAGAGGCTGGTGACCTTGCAGTTATCGGCCAATGTGTCCTCACTGTGCCACCGGAGCTCCCTGTCGTAGCTAGGCAGATAGTAAGATCTGTTTTCAGTTCTTCCTTCTGGCCTGTGGCTGCCTTGGCTTTGCTAGAGGAAGAGGATATGCCTCCACACTACTGACATTGGGTTTGACTGTGTAACTTGCCTTAGCCAGTGGTTTCAGAAAGAAATCTTCAATGATGCTTCCAATCAAAAGCTTTAGAAAGTACTTGGATTGTTTGAGTTGCCTTTTTTGAGTTCCTGCCTTCACCCAAAGCAAAGGTCATCACAAGTCTCCCTTAACCTGGGTCCCACAGTGAGAGACCGTGGAGTGAGCCCAAACATGGCACAGTTGTCTCTTTCCATCTGTAGACTTTTGGAAACCATGCATGTCAAATGTTATAAATCACAGAAGTTGAGGCATAGTGTGTTATGCAATACATTGAAGAGTTGAAGAGCATTCCAACTGATATTATATAGACAATTAATTAGTTGGAATGTTAATTCATCTTCTGTCAGTGGAAAGAATGAGGCAGATTAGTTTATGGCTTTGTTCTCATTTCATTGATAGTCTTTAGGTACATAGCGATATATAATGATTTACTGAGCTGCTCTTTGCCCTTTTATCCTGTTCTTTCTTCATCTGTAGGCTATTGCTAATAGGAATAATAATAGTGGGACACATATACATGGGACTTATTATGCCTTCAGGGTATATATAGCCTAACTATTAACCAAAAGCTCTGGTACATAGTACATCTTAAGCAGATAGGTGTTAAATGCATTAATGAAGTAAATGAAGATCTCGTTACTGCTAGAACAGTGGTCCAAACCACACTGATAAATGTTCGAAATGATCAGGTGAAGGCACATGCATCTCTCCCTGAACCCAGCACCTGGTGGGTTATCTCAAAGGCTCTACAATTCATGTCTTTGTGCACTCACAAACACACCCAATTCCAAGTTCGTGCTATTTGAGCTTTAATCACAAGAACCATTGTTCCAGCTTGAGCCTCAGCCCTGTTTACAGAGATCTTGACATCCTGTCCTTTCACTGTGAAACATTCCCTTTTGGGACAAGATGAAAGCAAGCTTATTTTCCCATGCAAAGTTTCCTCTGCCCCTTCGTACATTTCCAGTTCCCTTTACTCCTGCTGCTGACACCCCTTCAGTCGCTGTCAGGTGGAGTTAATTTACTTGGTTCTGGAAGCAAATGAGCATGTAAGTGGTGATGCTACCCAGCACAGGGTAAGACAAATATGCCCTCTACCCGCCCACAACTAGGATAAACAGTTCCAGAGATAAAGCTGCTTCACATAGCAGGGCGTACAATTTGGTGAGAAATGGGAGAAAAATAAGCATCTTCCTGTGATGCTTGATGATGGGGAAGTTAATGGAAGATCAGCCCACCTTTAAATAAACAATGGGTTTCTACAAAGCACCATGGGTATGTATCATCTCAAAGCAGTGTTTGTCATCCTATAATGTGTCACACTGGAGAAGCTCGCAAACTGCAGATTCTGACTCAATTGAACCAGGATGCAAGGTGATCATTGAGACTGTACATTTCTAACAAGCTCCCAGGCAGTGCTGGCATGAGTACTTGGACCAAACTTCAAAGAACCAGGTACTAGAGAGAACTTGGAGTCCATGCGTGGCATTAACAGTTCATTGCTATCTGCAAGGTTGGAGGGCCAAGTCTACCCTAAGGCACCCTGGAAGAGTGGCTTGCATATTTGCTTCCCAAAATCATCAGAAATGCTAGAAATGCAGAAGTTCACAACTCTTTTCTGAAATACACGAGGTCTCCATGGGGCAGCAGCTGATACTAGCTAGAGGGAGCTACCAGAAATATGATAGCATCGAGCCACAGAAAGACATTTGTGAAGAGGAACGGGAAGAGGATGTGAATTTTGGCAAAATCACAGCGTCTGGGACTAGACGTTGTTCAGAGAAGAGACACAGAATTGAGCAACTCAGAGATTCGGAGCAAGGCATTTTCTACCTCAAATGGAAGTTGGAAAAGATTTGTGGAAGAGCCTTTCAATGATCTATTTTTTCTTCCTTATTAATAATAGAATTCCTCAAATTCTAACTGTGCACACCTAGAGAGGCTTTACCCACACTCTGCTGCAGCAAAAAATGCAATCAGGGTTTCTACTTCCTCAATGGATATTTGATCCAAAATGATTTGATTTGCTCCCCCAAGACTTCACTTACTTGTTCTTCTATTTTTTTGTATAAGAAACAGCTTTATATAAAAGAGCAATTGTATATTGAGAAAACATCCCAGCCCAGATCAAGTCCATAGGTCCCATATTAGCCCCTATGTCAGTACTAGTCCGTAAATTCTTCTTTAGACTCACACAGCCTTGACACTTACTTGTTCTTATCAAAGCTTCCAATAACCTACAATTTGCCAAATCCCGTCAATATTGTGTTCTCATTGACCTCTCAACTACATCTGTGAGAATGATAACTCTGCTATCCCAGAAGCACTCCCTTTTCCAGGTCAAATTTAACTTGCTCTGCTCCAGAGCCAATGGGCACTCTCCCAGACCTCTCTAGATGGCAGTCACTCATCTCAGAAAGACAATACTTGCCCCACCATCACCAACATGTTCAGAATTCTGTAAGCAATACTGATTTGTTGTCAATTTTAGTCGTCACTGGAGCCCCAGCTAAGGTGCCCCGGCATAGTGGTTAGTGTGGGGCTCCTAACCACAAGGTCAGCAGTTTGAAACAACCAGGTGCTCTGAGTGAAAGAGACAGGGTTTCCTACTCCCGTTAAGAGTTACAATCTCAGGCACTGACTGGGGCAATTTTACCCAGCACTTGAGGGTCGCTATGGGTCAGCATCAACTCTATGGCAGTGAGTTTGGTTGGGTTTGGTTGTGTTGGGTTGGGTTTGTGGTAGACTCCAGCTGGTATAGCCAAAATATCATAGGTTTGCTTTTGGTAACTTTAAAATATCTTTTTAGTTGAATGTTCTGAAATTCTAGATCGGTCAACAGGGATCTGAGCCATTTATTTATCAACTCGCATTTCCCCATCTATACAAGAAAGTCAAGAGGAATATTGTCCATAGAATTGTGAGTCCTATCAGCGCTTAGTTTTATAATCCATAGACCAGTATTTGAAACCATTTCATGTTACTTGTTAATTCCTTGGTCTCGAGAGATGTGCTGCCATTTCTTAGTTGCCTGTAAGCCAGGTTGAATGTTTCCTGAGATGCAAAGCTTCATGCCAAGTCTCCGCAAAGCGCCCTTCACCTCCTGGTTCCTGAGGCTGTAGATGAGCGGGTTTAGCATCGGAGTAACGACAGTGTAGAAAATGGCGACCTGGCGATCCTGGTCCAGATCGTAAGTGGAGGATGGCCGGAGATACATGCGGATCACAGAGCCATACAGGAGCAGCACGACCAGGATATGCGAGCTACATGTGGACAAGGCTTTGCGCAGGGCGGCAAGAGAGTGCATTCGCATTATAGCAACACCAATGCGGGCATAGGAGCCCAGGATGAAGAAGAAAGGACTGACCACTACAGCTACCCCCTCGGTGAAGATCAGCATTTCATTGACCACTGGCCGGGTGCAGGACAGCTGGAGCAGGGGTGTAATATCGCAGAAGAAGTGAGTGACCTGATTACCACAGAAGGTTAAGCGGATTACCAGCACACTGTAAAGGAGACTGTTGAGACTGACAACAACCCATGAAGTCAAGGTTATGCGCAGACAGAGGTGGCGGCTGACAATGGCTGAGTATCTTAAAGGATCGCAGATGGCCACATAGCGGTCATAGGCCATGGCAGCCAGCAGGTGACCTTCCATGCTGCCTACAGTCATAAAGAAGAACAACTGGGCCATGCAGCAGTTAAAGGAGATGGTTCGATTCACAGACAGTGTGTGCACCAGCATCTGGGGCACGGTGATGGTTGTTAGAAATATGTCAATAAAGGAAAGCTGGCTAAGAAGGAAATACATGGGTGTGTGAAGTTTGGTGTCTGAGTGGGCAACAGTTACTAAGAGGGCATTGCCAATAACTGCCACCAGGTACATGGCAAGAACAATCCCAAAAATAACTGGCTGCATCTCTGGCAAGCTGGACAGGCCCAGTAAGATGAATTCAGTCACTTCTGTCCTGTTTCTTGCAGCCATAAGACACAATTCACATCACCTGTGAAGAAGAAAATTAGGATCAAATAATGCCACAATTTACTCCAGGAATAGCTTATGGGAAACCTTCCTTCCTTCCTTCTTTCCTTCCTTCCTTCCTTCCTTCCTCCCTCCCTCCCACTCTTCCTCTCTTCCTTTTGTATATGCACTCCTCAAACTCACCCATGGCCAGAGTCCATTCTGACTCAGATGATACACAATCCCCGTTTCCAAAAGGTTCTTGTTTTTTTAAAAAAAACTATTTCTCCCTTGCCGTTATCTTTCTGTCCATCCATCCACCTGTTCCCTCAGTTATTCCAGTCAATTTACTCAGCCCTTGAAAAAAACAAGCAGAAGCCATTGCCCTGAAGTTGGCTTTGACTCCTGGCAATGCCATGTGCATACAAGCAGAACGAGACTCCAGAGGATTTTCAGTGGCTCATTTTTTAGAAGTAGACTTCCAAGCCTTTCTTTGGAGGTGCCTCTGGGTGAACCTCAAACCCTCAACCTTTTAGTAAACAGTCAAACATGTTCATGATTTCTACCGCCCAGGGCCTCCATTCAGCATTTACAATCTCCCAATTGAAGAGATGTTTTCTAAGTGGGTCAAGAGGGAGATCAAATGATAAGGTATTAGATTTTAACCGAACGACATCTGCCATGATCCTTTTGGTCTGGGGTATAGAAATCCAGGTTGGATGAATCTATAGAGATAGTAGCTGGATTATTCCATGGGGTATGGAAGGACAGGTTGGGGGTACAGCAGGAGAGCTAATAGCAAGGAGCACAAGAAAGAAGAAAATGTCCTAACATTGATTGTGGTGATGACAGTTCAACTCTTCTTGATACAATTGCATCATTGAATTATATGATATTAGGTTTGTGTCCCAATAAAGCTGTTTATAACAAACAAACAAATAAAAGGATACTTTGGGCTTTGTCTTTTCTAGATTTCATCCCCTACACATATTCAAATAACTCCTTCAGAATGGAGTCATGGCAAGCAAACTTTCCAAGTCTTTGAATTTCTAAAAGGATTTTCATTTTCCATTCATACCTAATTGCTGAAGTCCTTACTACTCCTCTGTCTCCTAGTATCTATATTGCTACCACAAGTTCAGGTCAGTCTGATTCTTTCTCCTTTCAGGTATTAGATTTCATGATCTTTACCCCTGATATGCCTAAATTTTACAAACATGCAGCAAAATAGAGTCCTTTTTAAAATTCTGTGATAAACCTACTAGATCTTTTCTACTAAAGGTCTACTCAGATGCATTTCCATCTTTCCTTGCATCTTGCATCTTGCAATTAAGTAACTGAATAGTAGACTTTTCTACTAAAGGTCTCCTACGATGCATTCCCATCTTTCCTTGCCTATGTACTCCTCCAACGTCCTCTCCTTCATTTCTTTGGGAGAGCTACTAATATTCAATTAAGTAACAGAATATTAAGCTAATTACATTAATTTTCTGGAAGCTATATTAATCAAGTAATAAATACCCAATTAGTAGGAATTTCTATTAGGCTAGATTACCTGCTTGATTACCTCACTCAGTCTCTCTTTTCCCCTTACATTTTCAATCTTTTTGCCTACCTAGATTCTGAGATATTTGTCACTTCTCATTCATATATCTTTTATTTGTGCATAGGTATAATTTCTCTTATCCCTTAATTATTATTTTTTCTTTATCATGGTATCCTTTTCTTGGTTTTTGTATGCAATGTTCTAAGAACACACATATTTTTTTAAGAACACACATTTCTCTATTTCCTTTTCCCCCTTGAATGATGACATTTCTTTGGGAGTCTGTTAGTCATTTTTTTATACTATTGACTTTTTTCTTTTATATTTTATTTGTTATGTTCGGTAACTACAGGTTTCTTGTTCTAGGTAACGTGTCAATTTCTTCTGTTGTTGTATTTCTATGTATGTGTCCCCATTACGCTATCCCAGGAATACAAATGGACTAGATGATAATATGAAGCGCTTGCCATACTATTTCTTGAGGATAAAAAGAAGGATTGTATTCTGGGATGCTAATAATAAACTACATGTACTTGCCATGAGTTAGAATCAACTCGTTTCCCTTCCTACAGAAAAAGAAGTATCAAGTTTTCACTGGACCATAAAGTGCTAGGATGAAATGATCTAACTTTTAGCAATAGTGGAAAAGGCAGATAGATATGCTGGTGTATTGACTGGTTTAGGTTTATTATAGTCAAGTTTAATCATTTCCATGAAAAATCCAAAGCAAACCCACTACCATCAAGTCAATTCCAGGTCACTGTCGTTAGAGGCCATCGCGTTGGTTCCAGTATAGAGACCTTAAGTAGCAGAGGCTGCAACACTAGCCGTTCCTATGCCACCCTCCCAATTGTGTTTGAGCCCATTGCTGCAGCCATTGTGTCACACGATTTCAACAGGTCTTTCTCTATTTGTACATTTTTTATAAATTCATGAGCCCAGTGAAGTGTTCTGGAATTCCCATCCTTGACCATGCTATTCATAGTTTGCTGTGATCCACATAATCACGCCTACGCATAGTCAATAAAGCATAAATAAAAATCTTTCTGGTCTGCTTTGCTTTCAGAAGATCCAACTGACATCAGGAATGGTATCCTTTGTTCCACATTCACGTCTGAATCCAGTGTGAATTTCTGGTAGCTCCCTGAAACTCCTGCAACTGTTTTCGAAAAAATCTTCGGTAAAATTTTCTGTCATGCTATATTAATTGATATTGTTCAATAATTTCTGCACTCTGTTGTGTTACCTTTATCGTGAGTACAAATACGGGTCTCTTCCTGTCAGTTGGCTAGGTAGCTGCCTTCCAAATTTCTTGGCATAGGTGCTTCCAGTACTTCATTGGTTTGTTGAAACATTTCTATTGGTATTCCATAAATTACTTGTTTGGAGCTATGTCTTCCATGCAGCTTGGACTTCTTCCTTCAGTATCATGGTTCTTGCTCATATTCTGTCTCTTGAAATGGTTCAATGTCAATTCGTTCTTTTTGGTGAATTCACTCAAAATTGATTGCCCAAAACTGATGGCTATGATCCCAGACATTCACATTGTCTTTCATCACAAAGATCTTCAATTCATTAAGCTCCAGTTTTCTTTAGCATCCCTCGTATTTTTCTAAATCACATCCTAATCCCCTTAGCTAGACTTTGGATTACCAAAATATTTTCAATTATACAGTTTCAAACTATCATTAATTAATTATGTGGATAAATATTTAATATCTAGCAGTATGTATTGTTTCTTATGTAGCAAATTTTACAGTTCTGAGAATCCTTATACAAATACCTTATATATCAATACTACTCGATACAAATTAACATGAAAACTGTTCCTAACAAGAAATGAGCAAGGTAACTTCAGAACACAAAGGAGTGATGATAGGTTGATAAACATTTAAAAGAACAGTGTGCTTGTTAGCAGCTGACAAACGACCCCAACTCTTGACAGCCAAATACACAATAAAACAAAACTCTGTCCAGTCTTGCACCATCTCCATAGTAAGTTGTGGAGCCACTCATTGTAATCCTGAGGATCTTCATTAGCCAATTTTAAGAAATATATCTCCAATTCTTCCTAGAATAGTGTAATATTAGCTCAATTAATTAAATGTCAATCAATGAATGTCATCTTACACATCAAATTGGATTTTTTAAAAGATTCTATTCCTAACAATCATGGTGATGAACCTGTAGAGATGAAGTGCAACTTTTAGTTATCTTTCAGGAAAGTAATTTAGCTAGCTGGGCAGAGAACTTCGAGTAAACCAAATAACTAATATCAAGGATTTTTTTTCCTCTAAGGAAATAATCATAGATGATCACAGGGTAACTGAAAATTGAAAATCTTAATTATCCAGTAATATGAAACAAGTTAAATAATTTTCAGCACATTCACACAATGGAAGGTAAACAGTCATTAAGAAAAATGTTTTAAGAGCTGTAAGAGCTCCCAATAAAATGATTTTTTTTAAAGAATGAAAAAAGAATAATGTTTCATGTAATGTTTAGGGACATAATAAAATTATTCTTAATAGCAACAAAAAGACAACCCAATTGAAAACTGAGGGAAGGACTTACACAGACATTTCACCAGAGAAGTAGTACAAAAGGCTAGCAGGCACATGGAAAAAGATGCTCAACATTATTAGTCATTAGGGAAATGCAAATTAAACCCACAATGAGATATCACTTCACCCCTACTGTTAAGGTTGTAACCGTGTGTTGGTAACAATATGGGGAAATTGGGCCCCTCACCCATTGTTGTTGTGATTGTAAAATGGTGCTGAAATTATGAAAAACAGTTTGGCAGTTCCCATAATGTTAAACACAGAATTTCACATGACCCAGAAATTCCACTCATAAATATATAGTCAGAAGAATTGAAAGCAGGAAGCCATATAACTGTACACTAATCTTCATTATAATATCATTCACATTAACCAAAGAGTGAAAATAGCTTAAATGTCCATCCCCAAATGAATGGATAAATTAAACTCTATTTTAGCTGTAAAGTGAGAAAACGACAAGGTTTTTTATTCCCGAAAGAGCTAAAGTCTTGGAAACCCACGATGGCTGTTCTACCCCATCCTATCAGGTTGCTTGAGTCAGATCTGATTCAATGGAAGTGAGTTTGTTTAGGAATAATTTAGCCACCAAAGAAATTAATTTCTGATACCTACCATGTCATGAATTAATCTTGGAAACATGATGATGAGTGAAATAAATCAGACACAAAAGGACAAGTATCATATGATCCCATTTATATAACTATCTGGACTAGACAACTACATATAGACCAAAGTTTATTATTGGTAAACAGAAAGGAGAGCACTGAATTTTTGTTAAGATGATGAAAAATGTTCTAAACAAACAGTCACAAAAGGACAAGTATCGTATGATCCCATTTATATAGCTATCTGGACTAGGCAACTACATATAGGCCAAAGTTTATTATTGGTAAACAGAAAGGAGAGCACTGAAT